AGACCAAATACCCTATTATATGCTTAAATCATAACATCAAGTACGTCCTGTGTGCTGAACTTGTCATGGTGATTAGTTAATTAATATTTGTCTCTTCCACTAAAATGGAGTAGGGAGGGAGCATGTCTGTTCTGATCACCATCCCTTCTTCATATTAGAAAAAATACCTGTCTTATATGCTAGGAGATAACTATATATTTGTTGAATGAATGGATGGGTAATGTTTGCTTCTGCAGTCAATCTCATGGAATCTGTTTCTCTCTTTTTTTAAAAAAAAATTATTTGAGAGAAAGAGAGAGAGAGGAAGAGGAAGCGTGGGGGGGAAGGGCAGAGGGAGAGGAGAGAAAGTCTTGAGCGGATTCCATGCTAAGCTTGGAGCCTGACGCGAGGCTTGATCTCACCACGCTGAGATCACAACCTGAGCTGAAACCAAGAGTCTGACGCTAACTTACTGTGCCACCCAGATGTCCCTCTGTTCTTTACATAACCTTTATTATATGTGACTGAAATACTTGGGAAATGATAATTAATTTAAATAAATACCACTTACTTATTTAATATTACAGTTTTTAGAATCTATTAAATTAATCAGCTATGATTATTTTAAAATGTTATTGATCAAACTTCGTGACTATTCTGGATACATGCTATTTCAACGACTCAAGAAGTACCACACTCCTTACTACATTTAAATTCTGATGTTGTTTCCTGGTCCCTTCCCAGCCTCAGTTGTTCAGAATCAAGAGAGTAGATCACATCAATTTGTCACAAATAGTCCTATTTCTATGGAAGTGTTCTGCTCCTCCTGTCTAGGGCTTGGATACTAGGCCAATGCATGATAAAGCACAGATTTCCTCAGATGCCCTGTGGAAAGGCTAGCTACTAACCAGACTCCTGCCTAGATAACCCAGTTTCGTGCTGTCCACTATCAAAGGGAAGCTGTGCTTTCTCCCCCAGCAAACCGCTAGGGTCTTCCTTCTTGTCTCCCTCCTGACACTTTTTATCTCAGGATTATCAATCCTCGGGCTCACCATTGCCTCCAATCTGAGAATATCTGAACTGAACACAAATTTATCCATTGCTATCTGTCCACATTAGGCTCTACTTCTTTATATCTTTGTAGTATACAAGTTTGGCTAACCAAAGTCTAATATTTCCTAGACACTAGACTCGATTTTAATACATGAAAACAACACAGATAATTCAACTCATGTATTGTGAATTAGTCTCAGTATTTCTCGGGTAGAATCTTTCTGCCCACTTATTTAAAATGGAATTTAGTCCAAGTTCTTACTGTTTCTTCAAAGTCATGATCTGCAAAGCCCCTTTAAAAATCTCTCTTTAAGGCTTCTGAACCCCTCCTATCTTTAGCTTGTTATAGAGGATACTTCTTATACTTGAGTCCCTTGAATGTCATGTACTCTCTTCCTGGCCTCTAGTTTTGCTAAATATGCTGCCATAATAGCAAGCTAATAGAACACAAGTATTTGCTTACAGATATTTAAAGCAAACCCATGGGCGCCTGGGTGGCTCAGTTGGTTAAGCGACTGCCTTCGGCTCAGGTCATGATCCTGGAGTCCCGGGATCGAGTCCCGCATCGGGCTCCCTGCTCAGCGGGGAGTCTGCTTCTCCCTCTGACCCTCTTCCCTCTCGTGCTCTCTCCCATTCTCTCTCTCTCAAGTAAATAAAAATAAAATCTTTTAAAGCAAACCCATGGATAGTTTTCCATTGCAAATGTATTTGGAAAAATAGGTTCGATAGTTGAGTACTTGAATTTGTGACTCCTGACACATATTTCTTATTAAGCTTACCTCCTGAAGAATAGTGCTTCTATTTGCAGCTATTTTATTTAAGAAGACACTTGCAAAAAGAGAACAACATCATTTTTATGGAATCAATGTTCTATCTTTTAGAAATTGAAAAATTTTTTAAATACATAGTAAAAAAGACTGGGGAAAGAAGTGAGAAAAAATGAAGAGGGTTAGTAAAGCAAGAAAGGAAAGTAACATGAAACTTAGAGATGGTTCAAAACATAACTTGTCATCTTCTTAGCTGTGAGAAATTGGACATATCACCTAAACCCTCTGAACTAGATGGGGAAGATGGGGAATAATAACACTATTTGTCTCAAGCATTGTTGTACAAATTAGATTATGCATTTAAAGTGCCAAGCATATTCCTGGGCATAGCAACAGCCCAATAAGTTAGCTATGGTAATAATCAAAATAAAATCAATATCATACCAAAAATCCCATTATAATATTATTATTCAAAATTTCAGATGTGGGATTATTTTCATTTGCTCAAAGGGATGGTGTGCAAATTTAGCTCTCTAGTTCCCAGTAGCCAGTGACAAGGTAAAACAATGAGTTTGTAAATATGGAAAGATCTAAATACTGAAACACAGGAACCCTTCAGTAGTGTTTTCTAACTGAGGATTGTAGAGTTACTGCAAGGGTTCTGTTTGTCTGTAAGTCCCTTAAGTATCATATATGGCTCAAATCATAGTGCCTTGTGCACATGTGCACTATTCATTTTAAATGAATCCAATATTGTGATAATGATACCAATTTATTTAATTGTGTTACTGAATTCATAGTAGCCTTTTACCAGTATGCATTTTCCTAACCGATGGACTTGCCAAGAACACTATCAGAATCATGAAGAGTGCTGTATATTAATTTGCTGTCTTTTAATCAAAAAGATTGGGAGTGTATTGCGGAGGGGGAAAAAAGTTAGCTTTTGTAAAAAACAAAACAAAACAAAACAAAACAAAACACCAAAAAACAAAAACCCCAGCTCTCAATTTCATCACTCTTCTTTCCCTCATCAACAGCACTGAAGACCTCTCAAGTCACAGAAGCATTCTTTTTTTTAAGCAGGATTTGCTGCTGTAGACAGGACTTTCTGATTCCATGGCTAGCCCCACGGGGATATCTGTGAAAGATTTGGGGTTTGAATGTTTTCCTAGTAAATGACACTGGTTGCAAAAAAAAACAGATAGGTAATTGTTTAATTGTTTGCTTTGTCATTTTGAATCAAATACAGGTATTTTCTACTAATTCAATCCTTGTGTCATCTTGCCAACCCCCATTTTGGTATATCCACCCTGGATCTGTTTTATCATCTCGTAGGTAAGAAAATTCTTGATTATTTTGGGGGGGGGAGGATATGCTTTTTTTTAAGTTGTAATGAATAGTGTAAGGGAGTATTATTTGGAGACTTAAAAAAAATCTTCCTTGAAGGAAAAAATCTTTTAAAAGGCCTACTAACTTGGTCTAATTACTTGAATTAAGGAAGTAAGATGCTTTTGCACTGACTTTGAACAACTTTCTTGACTTCCTGCAAAGAGGATTCTTGACAGTATTTTTGGAGAAGTTAGTAAAACCGAATCTGACATCACTACCTAGCAGTTTGTGTAGCTAGCAAAGTGGTTTGTTCTTAGGGTAGCAGAGGAGGAAATTGCTCCCTGTCTGATAAGACAACAGCAGAGTATGCATTCATTTCTTTTATTTTTGACTCAGTTTCACAAAGAAAACTTTTGGCAGAGATAACTATTATTTTTGCCTTTCAGAAGGACGTATGCTGTTTCATAGGAATACGGCTGATTTCCAGATATGACCATGTATTTGTGCCTTAAACTTTTGGCATGTGGCTTTGCCTTTCTGGATACAGGAGTGTTTGTTACAGGTAAGTACAAGGATATTTATCTATCCTTAGTTATTTTTTTTTCCTTGTGGAGGGACGTGGGTTTGAAATAGACATAAAAATAAGTTAAGTGTTGGTGATTGGAAATGAGGAAGCTCACTATAAAATGGTCAAAGCTATTGTAGCTCAGAGACACAAGTCTTGCTATGTGACAGAATACATTGTTACTGTTTAAAAAGGCATAAATGTTTTGGGGAAAAAAATCACAATTTAAAAGAAACGTTGTCTATCCGTATCTTTGTTTGCAAACTGTTCAAGGGTATTACAAAAGCAATGTTGTTACTTAACCCTCAAATACGTGAATATAAGTTTATGAAAGTCTGAAGAAATCTTAATGACAAAGTAAGTGAATTTTCATCCTTTTAACAAAAAATGATTTTTTAAAAGTCATAATATGGCTTTGGTTGCATGTAAGCCACTCTTTCTTTTTGAACTGGAGTTTGCTTCCTCAAATTTTGATTAGTACTGAAATATTTTTATTGAATACTTAGCTATATGATAGTTTAAAATAATACATTTGGGTATTTAACAAAATATTAATTTTATGCATACTCTCAACACAGAATATATTTTAAAACAAGTTTTTGGTTTCTTCCTAATAGTTTTAATGATTATTTGCTTTGGAAATTTTTACGGGGCCACCGCCCTTCCTGGGTGATGGGTAAATATTAGAGCCTTGATGAGATAAAAATATTTAAACTCTTAAGAGTCACGCAAATACTATATTCTATAGGAAAATGTAATGGGGAATCTCAAATATTCATTTAAGTTGAAGATCTTGGTATATTTGTTATCTATTTAATGGACGTTTCTTGCATAGTTTCAGTTTGGGTCATGGATGCATTTCGGTTGATTGTTAAATGTAACTAATAAATCGATATTTAATAGATACTACTTATGATGTAGTATCTAAAAGCTGTTCTTCAATATTGAAAGGACATTGAAAATGGCATTTTTGTAGAAATTCCAAATAAGTTTTTAAAAAAGGGAAAAAATATTTTTTAAAAGTCTTGCTTACTGTAATTGACTTTGAAATCTGTTCTTGACTTTCCACCACTCTTCTTTCCTCTGAAAGGCAGGGCAGTAGCTACCTCTAGAGCTTGTTACATTGTCAGTTGATACTTTGTGTAACCAAGAAGAATGGAAAGCAGTGTAAGATACTGTTTTGTTTTTAACTGCAAAGATGGGTTAAAATTTGTTTATAGAGATACAGCATTTTGTCTTAATACAAAAAATGTTTATCAATTTACCTTCCCTATAGTTTATCATAACCCAAACCAAATTATAATGAATAATGATTTTAACCGGGTGATAATATATATATTATCATAAATCAGAGTGAATATTCATTAAAAATTCCCACCCAAGAACTGTTGCAAAGCATTTCTAAATAAGCACAAAGAAACACTGAAATATTTTCTAGGACCCAGAGCAAATCACCACAAAAATTTTAACTCACTCTATTAAGAATTTTTACCATAAGAAATATCTTTCAATTTATGATCAAAGTAAGAGAGTATAAAGTTATCCAGAAACCTTTAAATCAATTGTGCTGAACAATTTGTATTTAAATAAATAGATAGACATAGATTTATTTTGAAGGATCAAGTTTTTCTTCAATTGCTTACATAAATATCAAGAGCAAATACTTTTTTAAAGGCAATGATAGTTTTCCTGAAATTTATACTTATTTTTAGAAAAAAAACATAAAAATCTAATTATCTATGTCTGCAAATCTTACTTATCCTTTTAAGTTCTGAGGGACGTTTTGTAATTCAATGTATGATTTGGGAAGTTATTAATGTTTTAAATTATATTTTTCTTTATTAGCAACAAATGAGTTTGATTGTAGGCTTGATTTTAATGTGTTACAATTGAGTTTAGTGATCATAGGAAGTATTAGGCTTTTGGGCATCAAATTTATATTGTGTACTCTAAGGGAATAAAAAACCAGAGCCAAATGTAGAGAGACATCAATTAATGGATAAATATATGCACAATTCAGATGTGTTATTTATTGTACTTTAGGTAAGTACAAATACAGGCAAGGCAAAATTAAACCTTGCCATGGCAAAAATGCTGGGTTGAGTTTTATGCAAAACTTTCTAATCTCTTTGCTCTGTGCCTCTTTACCATGATACCTGGAAACCTTTGTTGAACATTTTTAAATAATTTTAGGGGACGATGATAGTTTTGAGAATGCAGATAGAGATAAGTGTTCTCTGACTCTAAAAAGGTGTAAAACTAGGCAAATCTATCAGTCTATAACATGCCAGCTAGAGTTTATGAGTTAGATTATGTGAGTTATGAGTCATAACAGTTTAGATTCATTTCCTGGTCATAAGTCTCCATTTTCCCAGCAACATTAAAAGAAATATTTCATGTTACAAACATGTATTATGCCTTGCACATCTCAGGCTTTCAATACAAATTATGAATTGAATTTAATAAGCAATCTTACTAAGTTCTAAATACTCCACAATTTAGAAATTTGTGGATATAGACATTATTTTTTATGAATCTTTTACAAGTATTTTTCTAATACAAATTTGCCTGTGATCCTTACCATTGTTAGAATTTGAAATGCATTTTATTTGAGAAAAGGTAAGGTGGACTTAGGGATCTGTCTTTCCTTTTCCTCTCTTGTTCTATGTAATTAAGTAGAGGGGCAGAGTGGTTAGCTTGGGGGGCTAGGTCTTTTCTCTGTTCTGGGATACTTGATATCCTTTCACCAGTGACAATTAACTAGTGTAAGAATATAGATATTAAAAAAAAGAATATAGATATTTCGACACTTCGTATAAATACACATGTACTGATACACACACATATATATTCTAGTGTTTATGTGTGAATTATACAATACACACATACACGTATCTGCTTATCTATCTCCTGGTTCTTCATATTTGTCTACTTTTAAATATTGGAGTTCTATGGGCTTTAATCCTTGGCCAATTTTATTCTTGTTTTCTCTGCTCAGAGTTCCTTACCATTACCTGCTATATATTGATGATCCTGTTTTTCCATCTCCAGACTCATTTCTCTGAGGTGCAAGAAAAAAAAACTGAAATATATTTAAATGCTCCTCAAGTCTTATAATTTTACTTTTTAATAATCTTTAAAGTCTTTTCCCCTTTCTTCATCTCCATTGACATCACCTTAATTCATGCCTTTATCATTTTTTACCTGGAGTATTATTATAGTTTCTTAATCTCTCTGCAGTCTCATCCATTTCCTTCTATACTCTACACCTTAAAAATATAAAATAAAAGGAAAAAAAAACCCTCTGATAACTTCCCATTGCCTTTAGTATACACGTTAACCTCCTTGTCAGAACAACTGAGTCCACCAGTGAGCTAGGAGCTGGGCCTGGAGCTGGGCAGGGCGTGTTTTGTCTTTTTTCCTGTATGATTCATTAACCCACAGGAAGCAGTTTCAACACTCTGCTCGGCTCATCTACACTTCCTCAGGACCTTGAAGGCTCTGTGCAAGTCCTATTTTGTTTTGAATGTTTTCTTCTGTCACTCCTGCCACAAAATATCTCCACTGAAATTGTAGGCATTTGGCCACCTTTCAGTGGCATTTTTCACATACTATTTCAATTTGTTGTTGGTGGTGGTATTAGTATTATTATTTACCAATCAGTGTATTTTCTTCCATTGTAACCTGTGTGTATTCACAAACTATGTTTTATGCCTTTTTTGTATCATCTGTACCTGATGTCTTACCAGATACTAAAAAAATAATGGATGTTTTTTGACAAAACTGAAGATTATAATAATGAAGGAGAAAGAGAAGAACACAAATAAATTCAGAAATAGAAGGCAGAGGAAGAGAGAAATATGAGACAAAAAAATTAGCCAGAGGCAAAGTGGAAGGGTAGAGAGAGTTAGACAAATCATCAGGATTAAAAAAAATAAGCTTGGATTTGGATCTTTATAGGTTTTACATTTTTAAAAATTTAATTTATTATTATTATTATTATTTTGCTATTTCCTTCTTTCATCTCCCCATCTTCCCTCTTATCTGGAAAACCCTCCTAAATTCTTAAAAATCCATAGTCAAGAATGTTATTCCTAAGTATGTCTTGGCCTACTCTTTGGACACTTTTGCTAATGGCGTTTCCTTTGGTGGGTTAGTTTTGTTCTTCAGAGACAGGTGACTCTAGGAAGAAAAGTAAGGAATCAGGCGGGGGAGGAGATACTCATCTAACACAGGGACAAAACACATGGAGTCAGGTCCAGTCCTTGAGAGGACAGCCATGGGCGCCTGTAGTGTTGTGGGACTGTTTTCAGGGCTCACTCTATGCATTGCATTCTGTGCACACAGAAAGTTTGTAAGGAGTCTGGGTATCATTTATTACTAGACAACATGATAATGAATTTCAGTTTGAGTAGGTAAAAAGCAGAGATTTATAGTCAGGTTGATTAGTTTTGTTGGTGAAAGCACAGTGTTAAAACACACAAGGTTTTCTGTTCAGATCATGTATATGTAAGTTACTTTGGTACAGAGAAAGAAATTTGTCATCACCAAACACCTTTGATCTTTTTCAGTCATCATATAAATTTGTGGGAATATTTACACAGGAGAAAATTGGAATGGAAATTGAACTTAATCTCACTTTAAATTTAATTTCAGTCTAGTCTAAATAGCTGTGTCAGTACTAGATACCCAACTCCATACTATTTGCATATCACTAAAGGATTAGTGCTATGACTTTTATATACATAAGGGTAATACTCTTAAGGGAATGATGAAGAAAAAAATGAAATATTGCAAGCTATTCATTTAGCCATATGATGTGATATCTATTTCTACATAATCCTGAAATATATAGACATATTTTGTGTACATGGCCATAACCAATATTTAGATGAGAAAATATCTAATCATTGCCTAAAATTTTTAATATGCATTCATTTTGATATGTCAAGGTGTTACTTCAGTTTCAGTCTGTCAAGAGTCTGGGGAATGGATACTGTAAGCAGTGAATTGTGTGTTCAGAAATAACAACAAAAACAAGAAAAGATAAAGAAACAAAACTTTGGCATAAATACCCATTAAAGTCAATGTTACTGAAATACATAAGCACCTTCCACGTGCATTCATATCATTAACTGACTGACCTCTGAAAAGATAATCAACAAGATTATCAATGCTTTTATTAGATTCTTTACTGAAGACCCACTCAAACAACTTTAACATCTTCCATGGTGCTTGACTATATATACAGTGTTTAAAGATTAAACATTTATTTCCTACCAAAAATGAGCCACAAATACCTGAAATGAAAAAGTTATTTTACTAAAACTTCAATTTCTCCTATATATACTGCATGTGAGATAAAATTATAACTACATGCAATGATATTCCAATGAAAATGATTGCCATTCATATATTTAAAAACTATTTCCAACCAAAATGTGAACATCTGCAGGAAAATCATCAGGCCTTCAAAAAGGTGATCTGCTAACATTGGAGCACAAATCAAGAGCTAAGGGCAACTCAGCATCACACTCATATATATTAGAAAATGAACAGCTACTCTGGCAAACTTAACAAAAAGCATTGATACGCAAGAAGAAACTCTGCATTGTAAATATTAGTAATAATAAATTGTGCTCATAGTCATGAAAATAGATTAGAGAATCTTATATAAATAATAATGATGTTAAGAGATGATAGCAAAGGGATGGTATCATTGCAATAAAGCGTGGTCACCATATTTTAAATATCTCCACTTAAAAAAAAAGAAAACAGTAATTTGTTTACTGATAAAAGAAATACTAAGCATCATAGGAAATGAGTCAGGTGCCATACTGTGTTGGAGATGGCATTTGGATCGAGATGCATTTTAAAAATCTAATTCTATGAATTGTATGATCTCAATTCAAATCACTTTCCATTTTTTGATACACAGTGTCCTCATCTGTAAACACTGAAATTGAGAATATTTGTGAAAATGCTTTGAAAACTATGAGATACCCTGCAAAGTTATATATTGTATTTATGTGATACAATAAAATCACAGCACATAGCTCTTTATCATTGACACATGATTCCAAATCACGTCTCTTCCTTTGAGAGACTCATAGGAGATACAGTTTAAGGCTATGTGATAAAGGAATTAACCCTTAGAGATCTTTGAATTCTTTTAACTTTGCATCCCCTGTTTTAGGGATTTTTCAGGCTACTCTGGATTCTACCTCTTAAATAGTTTGTAAATCCAACTCTTTGCCACAGATTCTTATCATTTCTTATTGTAACAATAACTGCAGTCTTGCCTCCCTTCGATCCCTAGTGTGTTCCTACTTACCTCTACTAGGATAATCTCTGTAAAAGGCAAAACTTACCTTTGTACATCCTTCCTTCAGTGGATCCCTATTGGATAGAGAATATACTGATCCCATGATTTGGATCCCAAGGATGCTTAAGAAAATAAGCATTACATTAGAATACACCTACATTTATGAGTTTTCCTTGAGAACAGCTGTCACAGAAAAAAAACTCTATTAAGCCAAGTTAATTCCCTGAGTATTTTTATATAGCCTGATTAAATCATTACCAATTTTTTCATTAAAAGAATTTTACTGAACTAATGTTCAATAGCATTACTTTTCATTCAATTTTTATAGTTACTATTAAATTCATGAATCAAGTTTTTTAACCACCTCCAATTTTACTGACTATAGACTTATGCCTCTGGGAATTTTCCTTTATAGTTATTATATTTCTAAGTGAATTTTTTTGTCAAATAATATAGATCTAAATTTCCCAAAAAGGTTTTAATTCTTTTTAGCCAGAAAGAACATTACTTTTGTGCCGTTTTAGCCACCATTGCTTGTTTTTCTCTCTCTCTCTCTTTTTTTACATTTCAATATTACACAAAATGTAATTGATCTGATGTAATTATTTACTTCTGTC